AGGCAGGCAGGCAGGCAGGCAGGCAGGCAGGCTAATTAAACTAACTTACTTTTGGATGGCACTGGCAAATTAGAACGGACTACTATCAAAGAATCTGCTTGAACCCGAAGCAAATAGTTTTTTGCAGTTTCATAATCCAGAGATTTTTGAATAGAGATAACACCTGTTCTGTTGTTAATAGCAAACACGCCTGGAATGCAGAAAAAGAAGGTTTTATAGACATTTTAAGAACGGATAAAATGATTCATTCAAAATTGTGCTATGTATCTGAAACTGAAAATTTCAAATTTACTTTTTTCCATTTAGGATTTTTTACTCTCTCCCACTTTACGCTTTAGTGATACCAAATGCAAGACCACTTTAACTTACCATCTTCATTCCCTGAAACAATGGAATAGACAATCGTTTGATTCAAGGCAGCAGCTGTTACCGCAACAACTTGGGTTCCTTTGGGGGCACCTTCACGCACAGGTGGGGGCCTATAGAAACAGATTGTTGTTCATTTTGGTCATATTGTCAATATTCTCCTAATCTATTCAACATACCCATGAAACTGAAGCGGAAATTGAAAGCTACATGTAAACCAACCAAAGGAACAACAATAAAGGTGTAATGTAAGCATCAGCATTTACAGAAATCGACACTGACAGTGTGCACGGCAAGCGAGGGAGGCCAGTGGGGATGCAACTTCAGGGGTTTAAGAAGTAGCATGGTCCTGCTCAACTTTAAGAACCAAAATCCATCTCATCTAGCATGCTATTTCTCACTATCCAGTTTGCTGACTCTGAAAAGCACACAAGTAGGTAAACACAGTACATTCTTTCATAACTCTTCTAAGTTACTGCTATTTTCCTAGAAGCATTATACTCTGATTCTGGAAACACCAAATAATAGCAATAATGATAATAAAGTCTGGTTCCGTGGCACCTAAAATATGCAAGTGTCTCTCAAATTTCATGGAGGAGAACACTGCAAAGCAAAGGTGCTACCACAGAGAAGTCCCATCCATAACTACAAGTTGACCAGTCAGCTCTGCAACAGGGAAGGTGATCTAACAGCATCCTGATCTCAAGTTATTTAGGGCCTTTTATGTCATAAGCAGAACCTTGAATCCGGTGGGGTAACAGCTAATTGGCAGACAGTGCAGTTGCTTTAATTGCACTTGGCAATCTGGTCATACTAAGGTTAGACGTTGTCAGCCCTATGAAGTAGTCTAATCCAAGAAAGAGATGTCAGGTGTACCTAAAACTATTTTTATTCAGATCTTGCAAGTCTCAATATGCTTCTCCTCCTCTTATATCTTCAGGTACATTTGGGGGATGTCTATCTGACCCCTCCCCTCTCACTGACTTCTGCAACGTTTATCTGCTTATTGCCTTCTCTCCGTAATGGATCTCCTTCTCTCCGTCAAGGTCATCCTCTTTATTCTCTAGTGAAGTAGAGCTGAGCATCAATTTACTGATGACACCAAAACTTCTTATGACCACCTCCAGGAGGTTCAGATAGTTCTTGAACAGGACCAGGAAAAACCTAGTGCTTTGAGGCATCCCACAGCATAGTCACCATTGTGCAGAGGAACAATCATTATTTTCTGCATCTGTCCCTGCAAACAGAAGTGAAGCTACTGTACAGTACACTGTAAAGTACTATACAGTGTCCCCAACCTGCAGCTCACAATTTAGAAGGATACCATGCTTGACAATAGCAAAAGCAGCCGAAAGATTGGGGAGGATGAATGGAGTCACACTTGCTTTTTCTTTCCAACAAAACTCATCCTCAGGGTAATGATGTCTGATTTTCTCCCCAAACTAGGCCCAAATCAAGCCACTGAGATTGTTAGGAGCCCTAAAAATGATGATAGTTGCGTATATTTTATTTCCTCAAAAATCTTACCCTGAAAAGTTTGTTTTTGTGTCTAGGAAGTAGTTGATAAAATACTCTGGATCCATAGAAAATTTCAGGTAGTGGGGACTACTGCTTTTTTTAAGCCCAACAATACATTTCCATCATGTATCAAGATGCTCAACACTCTAGTTAACTCAAATCAGCTGAGATGAATAGGAACAAAAACTAATGTTGACTCAGACAGTGGAAAGAATCTCATTAAATTTTACCAGACGAAGCTCCAAACATTTCAGTATCAACTGTGTCAAAGGTCAGCATGAAAATGAAGCATCAACTACCTTTCATATTTCTAAAATAGATATTTGAAGTTTCAACGTCATAACAATAAGTTCTTGATCATTCTAAACAGGTCTGCTAGATAGCTATTAAGATTCAGTCTCAGAGGTATACTATCTTAGTAACCCTCTCATTCTTTCAGGGGGATTTATGCTATGAGATCGAACTTCACCTGATTGTTGTGTGATCATGCTGGGGAAAAGTTAAATTGATCACCACCCCAATATGCTGTTCCTGTGTAAATATTTGATGACAGCTTCTGTAGACCCGACACTGCCACTGAGGCCACAAAATCCTAAACTAGGCTTCCTAATAAAGCTAGCAGCTTCAATATAAATGATGAGTTTGTGTCCCAGGACACCATACTTGAGTTCTCCAACCACCTGAGACTACCTCTGCCAGTATGATCAGGGAGGTCATTACCATATAGCCGACTGCCGTCTATGGGATTTGGTTGATTTTTTTCTTATTTTTGAACTGGGCTGTATGCTTAATAATACCAACTAGATTCAAGTTGGGATGACAGATGATTTTCCTAATTGTAAGCAAACCACATTTGCAAATCTTAAAAAAAAATAAAAATCTCCTGGCTTGTTATTTTCAAAACCTGGCATGCTGTTTCCATATCTCTCCTTCTAAAATGGTGTTTGAACAATGTAAAATCTTTTAAAACATTCTTTTGATCTTTGCAGGCTTTTGGCACATTTTTAAAATAACATCCCCATAATGTCCCTATGACCCTGATTCTAACATTGCTAAATTCTATGCATGGAGAATCCAGCAGCTTCCATTCCATTCTTCTGGATTCAGCATAGGACAATTTGAAGTAAGTGCCCAGAGAAACATCCAAATTCATATTCTTTGTAACTCTAACATAATTGGGCTTTACCAATTTCATCTCTTTGAGCTAACTAATGCAATCAAAGTCAAAGTACAATACAAAAGTTCAGTGAAATCCTATTGTTGAGGTCCTGAAACTTTGGATGAAATATGTATAGATACATTGGTAAAAACGTTATCCAGCTAATTCGCAGCTGCATTTGTCTTGCAGTTTTTAGCTCAAATGGCTTTTCCTTCTCTGAATTTTAGATTTATTTAGGAGAGTAACTACAGACAGGACTCTCTGCATAAAAGGGGTCAACAGAAGTTTATTGCTAGCCCTTTCCTGGAGATTCAGCAATTCCTTGGCTCCAGTCTAACATGCAAGCATTGAGTCACAACAACTGCATAGCAGCAGCATACAGATGTGTGCCTTGATGCAAGTAGGGTCACATGTAAACGGAAGCCTTACATTGAATAAGTCAGTTGGTTCAGCATGGATTAACAATCTCTTTCCATGTTAAATAAAAGACCTCGTCACTGATTCAGGAAATGGTTTTTCCCAGTTCTAATAGCTTTGTTCAGTTGAAGACGCCAGATAATGATGCAGAACCTTGTTGTATGGAAACCATGTAGTGTACTATTAAATAATAAATAAGCTAGCATTTGAATACAGGGCCAGCGTCTTGAACTCAGTAAGTTATCATTTTATTTCTTGTTTTATATTTCAAGCAATTTAAGGGATAGGAAGAATTTGCCTGTTGCACTCCAAATTAATTTAGATGCCCTTTTAAAACATTAGCAATGTTTGCATTCTATAATAGGGTTTCCTATGCAAAGCAGAATTGGAATGAAGGCCCCTTTTTTTTAAAAAAATGAAGCATTTGCTTTTTTTTTTTTTTTTTTTGGATTTCTTTATTTTGAGAGCATTGCTTAAGCTTTGGTTTTGTAATGTGTTCCAAACATTGATTCTGAAATAAAGCAAAATATCATCCCCTTTTACCTTGTAATTTTTTTTCTTCTAAGGATCAAGTTAATTATATTTCCTGGAAAACAAGTAAAGGTTTCCTAGGTGAGCATGGGTGTCAGATTGAACCCACGGAATGATGGAAGTCTAGGAAAAGATGCTGAAAAACTTTAAAACGCTGTCGGCTTCCCCTTTTTGTATCCACTGCTGGTGCGACAGTTCTCACTCAGTGAAACAACAGTATGGCTAATCTGAACAAAAAACGAAGGACAGATGGAAACCAGCTCTCCCACACAAAACTGTTACACAGGAAAGGAAAGAGTCAGACTGACACAATCAATAGATACAGCATGTGTACTGCTCCTGTATATAGGTCTTATGTCTAGTGACACAGCAGTCCCTGGAATTTTTTGGTTCTGGCTTCTGCATTTTTCTTTAATAAAGATTACTAATCAGTCATCCTAGAATTCTTGCGAGGTTACCTAATTGTGAGTGAAGCCTGTCAGTCATGAACAAAATCCAACTTCTAGCACATCTTCAGAGCATTCTTTTTGCCCTCAGCTTTTGCCAACACATTGTTAAAAACGGGATTGTACATGTGACAGTGCACATGGACAATAAGCTGTTGCCAGCTATGGATATGCAATACATTTCATTTATCAGTGTAATTCCCGGAAAACAACATGGACAATTACCTGGGTCATCCTTTCCTGTTCTGGTGGCAGTTCCATGCCATGAACTGCACAGATAAGGGACCCCAAGTTAAAGCTATGTTTCAAGGTACACCAAAGGAGAAATGTATTCTATTATGAAGTTCTCTGGATATTTCAAGATAGACTATTTCATTTTTGCATGCATTTGCCTCTGCATATGCCAAACCCCTGTAATAAAACATATTTCCCAGTGTGTGTGACATTATTTGCAAAGAATATTCCATAGGGCTGTGTAGTCTTTCACTATGCACCCTCTTCAAACTTCTCATATTAATTCACAAGTTTTGACCTTTTCAGTGGTATTTACCTCTAAAAAGCGATTACAAGGGAGTTTAGGTATTATTACAATGAACCATTGACATGGCCTATTATCCTTAAATGTCAAACTTCATTCTGATGGACTTAATGCCATCAGGCACAATGCAACTTTATGTAATATTTGCAATAATTTGGTGAAAGCTACACGTTTAAATCTTAAATATTTTTTATCAGGGATTCAGCAGAATCATTAGAACTGGAAAGCATACTATCCTCTTTAAATAACTTCAGTAGTTAAATATCGTGAGATAATTTAAAGGTAAATAAAATATGGGAAGGTTATTCTCGTAGTTGAAATGAAGGGAAAAGGGAAAAGACAGATATGTCCCTAGATAAATAAGATGGATTACCAAATTCAGATGCTACATTTATTTGATTAAAACAAAAATGGATTTAAATTGTTTAAAACAATTTTGTTAAGTGGTGTTGCCATTCGTGATTTATTAGGCAATTCTCTTGTTTATTTTGATAATGGTAGGGGCTAAAAATATTTTTGCTTCATCAGAAGAAAGTTTTTGGTTATTGTGGCCACTGATGCAAAATCTTGCTATGATTATATGCCCCACATCTTCTGCATTAAATTCCCTTAAGGAGATGTTCTGAGATTCAGTTGTTGGATTTTGAGGATGGAAGGTAGAAACAAAGAAATATAACCTTCGCATACAGAACCTTCTGAGGAAGAATACTTTGTTGTCCCTTTCTGAGCATCTTAGAAAAGAAAGCTCTTCTATATTTTTCAGTGAAAATGTTATTGTTATTAAGAACAAAGGATGTTAGGATAATCTCCTAGCACTGGTCGGCATACAGAATAAACAGAAAAGAGGAAAAAAAAAAAAAGAATGGAATGAAAAATATGACTGGATCCATTTTGGGGGCTTTAGAGGATATTTTGAGTAAACAAGAGATCATATAGAGCTTTGTTGTTGTTCAAAGTAATTACAACTAGTTAGGGGCTGAATATGGAGGATTTATACAAATGCAAAGTATAGGCAAATTTATAATTTGCATTGGTTTAGGCAAGGACTTTGATAACGCCCCAAAATCCTCTGTTGGTGATTGGCTTCTGTAAAAGCTTTCCAGCAATTAAAAACAGTTGTTTTGAAAAAGAAAGCAAGAAAGATCAGACCACGATATGAACAAAGAATGACAATCATCCTTATATTTTAAGAACAGCTGTAACACAAATTTTCAATACGGTATAACTCAGTTCCAAAATTTATATTCCATACATATCAAAATGAATACCGGATTAGCAATTGGCTTGCAACTCTTAACCATTGCGCCTTATTTGGAAGTTTGTGTGTAGGTCTGTGTTTGTATACAGGGAATTTTGCACACACAAGTATGTATTCACACACATATATATGCATGTGTGCAATGGGTACTAACCATTTCATCAAAGTTACTATTCTTTCAAATCCAGTTGCAAAATTAATTCATAGGGAATAACGAACAGGCATCCACTATAGACAATTTCTTCAGGCTATTCCATGTGGGGAAGATGTAAAATTTGCATTCACATGTATGTGAGCACACCCACATGCAGATTTTAAAATATATATATACATAAATTTACATCAGCTTTAAGAGCATTAACAGCCCTTCTACTTCCATATTGAAATACAACATACATGTGTCTTCACTCAAAATGTCTCCTAAACATTTACACCTGATTCCTTAATAAGCATCACAAGTTCTGATAAGATCTATGAACTTTCATACCAGTGCCTGATACCAAACAACAGCAGAGCTGTGGTTCTATTAAGAGATAATACATTGTAATATATCATTATAATAATTTATTATTATTATGAATAACCCCATGTTTATAGAAACTACCTCACACTACACCAAACAAGACCTGTGCACAATCTGGAGGTCTTTCTGGACTCATGGTGTTATGTGGAATATTAGGGTTTATGTTTAGGAAACCATGTTTTTCCTTTGAGCCAAAGCCATTTCCTCTGGTGTGCAAAAACTAGCCTTTTGGGGGACAGTATTGAGACCAATCAAACAATAGGACTGTATTCTGAAGTTCTTGAAAGAAACAAACCTGGGTGGGAAAGGAGGAGATGCAACAAAGAACAGGTTGTGGTTGTGTCCAGGAGGCCCCTTGGACCACTGCACGTTGTGCACCAGTTGCACCCATTCTTGCACTGGGAGGCCCTGCTCACTGTCACTCATGCTTTCTCACATGAGGATTACTGCAGTGTGCTGTACATGGGGCTGCCCTTAAAGAGTATTCAGAAGCTTCAACTGGTTCAAAACGCAGGCAGATATGCTTGCTCCAGGATCTGCACATATTACACCTCTGTTCCACGAGCTGCATTGGCTGCCAGTTTGCTTCCAGGTTCAATTCAAGGTGCTGGTAATGACCTATACAGCCCTACATAGCACGGGGCCAGGTTTCTTAAGGGACCACCTATCCCCAATTACTTCTACCCATCCCATGACATGTGGCAGGAGGGGCGTATTGCAGGTCCCATCAGCTAGGGAGTATCGTCTGGTGGGACCCCAGAATAGAGAGCCTTTTCTGCCATGGCACCCACCCCGTGGAGCTTCATCCCCCCACAGATCAGATTGGTCCCACCCTGCTGGCTTTTTGTACGGCCCTGAAGACATCATTTTGCTAACGGACCTGGAGACCTGGGAGTATGGTGGAGCCAGTGCAGTGGCTGTACTGATTGCTTTGATGAATGGGATTATGATGGTTTTTATATGCTTTTATATTTTTTTCTTGTTTTTAAATTGTATTCCTTTTTGTTGTTTTCATATTTGTTTTGTCTGCAAGCAGTTCAGAGTTATATATATGAGATGGGCAGCTATATAAATCTGAATAATAAATAACTAAACAAACTACAATATCAGTTGCTGAAACCATTAACTTTTTTGTGAAAAAAAAAATCTTTAAAAAGTTTCTTAAGAATTGGCATCTATCTCAAAATGCAGCCTAGGGCCGACTACACTCCTTGGAAGCATTTGAAATATGTTACTATATTCAGTGCTTGAAAATAAAATGTCTGAACACCTGTTAAATGTGTCCACAGGCAATGCATAATATTATTGATTGCACATTTAGTTAGCAATTTATTGCCTAGAATAGGAATCCAAGGCTGTTAACTATGACTTTCTAACTGCAGAAGAGGACAAGAGACGTTGTGCATTAATTAACAAAAAAATTAGGATATTTTTGAACTTTTACTTTATTAAAAAGATAATTAATCACAAGAGAATACTGTTTTGAAGGGAAAACAAAAACAACAGTGAAAATATTTTCTGCTTTAGGTTTAATTTCCCATCTGGTCTCACAATTTTGTAATGGAATGAAGTGACAAAGGAGGCTTTCCATTATTCTTCTGCAGAAATATCTTTTTATTCTTAATTTTTTTCATAAGTCGTTTTTGTAGAATTCCAGAATTCAGACAGTCACCGCTTATCATTACTTTCTATATCTACTCATTCTTGTGTAAACCCTGTCCTTATTTATTTGTGTGTGATTCTGCTGACCTGAAAATATCTCTTGCGAATAAAGTCATACAAATACGTAAAGATGCAACAGTGGAACAGTAAGATGAGCAAGATTACAATATCAGGGGATCTTTATTTGCTGCATACCCTAAAAGTGTGTGTATGGGGGAATCTGGTTTCATAGGTGTTGGGGGGTGGCAAATGACCATGTGTGCATTATGAAGTCATGATACAAATTATGTGACTTGCATCCATATTGAGATCCAAGTTCTAAAGGGCAGGGTTTACATTATGACGTCACCATGAGTGTTCTGTTGTTTTTTGTCACTGTGGCTAGCAGGGGACAACTAATGTTTGTTTTGATCTGAGTCCAGAACATAGGCTACCAGTGGAAGAACGGCAAAGGAGTCACTTTGATACATCTCACGTACATCACAAGAAGAGCAAAAATACTCTTCTCTGGCAGATGACTTGAGGCTTCTTCCTAATGCATACCCACAGTATAGGCTTTTTCCTTTTTGTTTCAGCTCAACAAAAGAAGAAACCTAGTTTTTGCATTTGGCACCCTGAAAGCTTAACAGCATGGTGACCCTATCTGTAAAGCCCGTGCATACTGTACATTTTTTTGTATGTGGCAACTTGCCAGAAAAGGGCAACTGAACAACCAGGACACACAAACAAACAGCAACATTATATTGAAAACATTGTGAACATGTGCTTAAATGACTTTCCATAACCCTTTCCCCCATTCCACCCTTCCCCACCAGCTCCTGACAATGATGGCAAGAACAGAACCACCCTTGCTGTTTTATTAACTAATGTTCTAAGTACTTGTGATAAATTTCCTGTATTTAACAGAACCAGACCTTTCAATGTATGCTACATATTTCTGCTATAAGTTCCAGGATATAAACACTTTAACACAAGTGTTACTGTGTTCTAGTCATTTAACCTAAGCCCAAAATATACACAGCAAAGAAAACAGACTGTTTCCGCATTTTGTTGCTCTGGTATTTTAAAAAGTCAGGGCTCTCAGAATGTAGTGTAGTAAGAAGATACTAGCAAAGTAGAAGACACAACGGATATCATGCAAAACACATAAACCACCTATACATTCAACTGAAAACAGTTCTAAATAGAATGACATTTGTTGCTTTCCTTAAACATCTGTGCATAGGGCCAGAACTAGCGTGGAGCCATCTTCAAGAAGACTCTGTTCCTTCTGTACCCCAGCAATATTGTTATAACACTCATAGATAATAGTGTATTGAAGGATTATGTATATGAAGGAAACATGACCTTGGATCAATTAGCATGTTAAAGGTTAAAGGTCAACCCCTTAATTATAAGAGTTATCTGGCCTCCAATTTTTCAAAAATAGTATTAATGAAAGAACATATTATACCTGTACTCATCCTGGGTAAACCGTGGAATTACTGAGGGTTGCAATACGGAAATTTCTACAGTGGTGGTATTAAACTTCACAGGATCACCATCATCATAGGCAATGACCACAAGCTGTTAAGCACATAAACACAATGAGTGAACATGTGCATTTCAATTCAATAATTTTAGAGATTGTTTTTTTTTTTTGAGTAATCTTAAGAATTACCAAAAAAGATAACAAATGTAAAAAATAAAACATGCACAATAGATCCAAAAGAGCTAACACATTGGAAAAAAAAAAACTAAAATTTTTGCTTCTACTCAAAAGTGCAATCCTAACTGTAAACCTCACTTATATAAATATTTTAAACCACCACATTTTAAAAGTTCATTTTGTTAGGGAAAAATAAGTAGAATGAATCATTGTTAGAGATGTGCAGACATCTCATGAGAAGTTTCCCTAGTCCTACTGAAATTTTATCTAGTTCTCTCAAAATTGTTTAGATATTTCTGCTCACCATAATTGGAAGACCTGAAAGACCAGGTTAGGGATAGATTGTCATGGAGAAAATCTACCTATGGGGTTACTAGGAGTTGAAAACAACTTGATGGCACATAAACCATCAGTCAATCAATCAATCAATCTCAGTATAAACCTAAATAAAGCTTTGCTGCATTTACAATATCATTGGGCTTATACGTTCCCCATACTGTTTGCTTTTACATGAAAAGCATTTTGATGAAGACTCTCTGATTAAAAAGCTCCTAATTATGCATGTTTCTACGGCCAACTTGCGGGCAGAAGTATCCCTTAAAAGAAATCCCACCTACAGAACAGTTCTAACAAAAGAAATACAGAAAGGGGATTTTTTTTTTTAAACTGATGCTATCTCCTTTCACGCTTCATTTCCAGAAGATCAGGGAAGCCTCTGAAACATGTGGGAAGTTGCAAGGAAGGAAGAATTGGAAACATCTACCAGCAAGATAATTCATGGGGTTTTGAAGTAGTCCATCAAGATTTGTCTCTCTTGTGAAAACTGAATCTGTTGAGATCAG